AAGTTATCAATAATATTTTTAATAGCCCTTAGTTACTTTTAAAAATTGTAGTGAAGTGATATTAGATAACATTATTATAAATAATGTTAACATCAATAATGAAACATTCTTTTCACTTGAAAATGTTTCAAATTTAATAATCAAAAATTTAAATGTTAGCAATTCTATTTTCAGCTCTCTTTTTTACATTATTGAATCTTAATAGATTTTCTTTAAATAATTGAGTTTTTAAAATATAACAAATTAATTTGAAAGTATTATCATTGCAATAGCTGTATAATAAACAGATATTAGCTATTTACGTATCTTACAAACAAATCGAAATTAAGTTTTAAGCTTATAAGGATGCTATGATATAAATTTGAGTAATGTTACTGTTAGAGATGCATAAGACATCATACTTTTATAGACTTAAGATTATATAAACACATATATTTATCCTATAAATAATCTTACAATGTCATATTTTGATATTTCAAATTCTTAAAATATAGGATTTATTATTTAGGCCAATTAATCTACAATTTTTAATTCTCAGTTTACAAATTTGAATTAGACGGCCACCAATCTTATTAATTCTAAACTTTCTAATATTCGAATATTTGAATGTAACTTTTAGAGTATAAATTTGAGCTAAGGATATTAAATTCTTAGATTGATAAACTTTAACAATCTATTGATTGAATAGTCAAAATTTTTAGGAAATTTAGGTAACTTGATTTATCTCCTCAATTAAAATGAAGGATTTTTCATAGTATTTAGTAATTTGTAATTAAAAGATAATATATCTGAACAGTAAAGCAATATTTTAATTAACTTTGCATTAAAATTAATAATCTAAAATAGTAGTTTTATAAATTAAATATCTTGGTTAAACGGAGGTGCATTAAATGTTTAAAACATTGATGAATTATATATAACTGAATCAAAATTTTAGATAAATTAATCTGTTTTAGGAAATGGAGGTTCTTTGTTTCTTTATCAAATTCAAAATTTATATATCTCAAACTCTGATTTCTTTGAAAACTAATCATAAACTGAATCAGGAGGAGCAGTATTTTTAGATTAAAATTAATTAAAGTCAACAAATTCTTCTATAATAAATTGTAATTTTTAAAAAAATATTGCAATCTAAGGATTAGGTGGTGC